ATTTTTTCTACCTACGTGACTTTAACCGAAAGAACAAAAGAGTATGGATTCCTGCAGTCACGAAAGCTTCAAATCAAGATTTTACCAACAGCGTCGCAGCCACTGTGGCTGTCACTTGTGTTAATAAATGGCATTGATTTGAACGTAGTTGTCCTTAAGGTGGTCGTGCTTCATTTGTGCTTTCGATCATTTACCTTCGAAAAAAATCTGGCCATGTTTCCCACCCCCAGAAAGGGCACCTCGCACGCCTAGGGGCTGCGTGCACCCCAGGTGAAGAAGCACTGCTCGAACATTTTGGACACTGTGTATTTTCTGAACCTGAGTTGGGGGTTTTTTTCGCTTTAACAAATGCTGATGACGGTACCGATACATAATACAGTAGGGCACGGACGAGACTAAATGCTGGTCGCATAAGTTAATGAACACCTGCTTAAACAAATGAACGTGGGGCTGAAACATCTCTTTGAACTGGGACACTACCAGCTTAGTAGTCAGTGACTCGGTAATTGTTGTGTAGGTTTAATGCACACAAATCCTGTCTGTAATCTAAACACGAAACAAATGGTAAACCATTCGCTATAATAGGGCACCCCAACGTCCAGTATATGGCTACAAAGATAAATATCCCCTATATAGCCTTTAATAGACTATACTCTTTGGTTCTTTCGGTAAAGTCACGTAGGTATAAAATAAATTAAATCACGACGTTTCGACCGTCATCAGGTGGAGCAGATACAGCAGGAAAAACTGCTGACATAGGAGAAAGAGCTGCTGCAACAAGAGTTCATATAGGGTTTTGGTGGGCTCAACCCAATGGTAAGTGTGCGGAGCTAGAAAAGGAAATTGCACGGAAATGTAAATGTGAGAGATTAGCACGTCAATGTGAGGTCCCCAGCCACCAGAGGTGGTGGGAATCCTGTGCCTTGGCTGCCACACAGATATTTAGCCACCTCTGGTGGCTGGGACCTTCACACATTGACATGCTAATCTCTCACATTTACAAATTCCTTTTCTAGGTCCTCCCACTTACCATTGGGTTGAGCCCACCAAAATCCGATATGAACTCTTGTTGCAGCAGCTCTTTCTCCTACGTCAGCAGTTCTCCTGCTGTATCTGTTCCACCTGATGACGGTCCTTGAGTTGCGATCGAAACGTCGTGATTTAGTTTATTTAAATGTATACCTACGTGACTTTACCGAAAGAACCAAAGAGTGTGGATCCCTGCAGTCACGAAAACTTCAAATCTTTAATAGATTGTTGGGGCAAGAGATTTTCGCGAGTACATATGAAGGCCGGCATGGCACACGAGGAGGGGTGGGTTTAGACGATTATCTGAACCGGACATGGGCCTCCCCCACGTCGACTCAGCCTCAAATGAGTACTCGTTGTGATGTACATACATCGCCACTCGGGAGACAAAGGCGGCCGGGCTTGGTGCTGTCCACCCACCCCTGTCCTATGTCGTTGCCGGCCTTCGTAGGTGCTCGCTAACAGCACTTGCCCCAACAATCTGACCAGGCTACACGGGGGATCTTTGTCCTTGTCATGAGACAATACAGTTTATCTTGATTTGAAGCTTTCGTGACTGTAGGAATCCATACTCTTTGGTTCTTACGGTAAAGTCACGTAGGTGTAAAATAAGTAATATTTAAAATACTTTTTAAAAAACACGCTTTTATGAAATGTACCCTTCTCGTAATAGAAGAACTCCACGACTCCAGGAAGTGACCCCGAAGCTTGCAATAACGTAAGAGACCTTGGTGATTTACAGCCAACGTTAGTTGAGCGTGGACAATTAGACCCAAGCCGAAACATAAAATATTAAAAAAAAAATTACAAATATATATTTCTCATTTTTAATAATATATAGTATTGTCATCAGCATGACATAAGTATACAAAGTTTGCAGTCGATACCACATTGGGAAGTGGGTTAAAATTGAGTTACAAGATTTGAGGATACTTCAACAACAGACAGAGTGAGTTCATAGAAAGCGTGTACAAAATAAATCTCGACGTTTCGGGCGCAACACAAGCGTCCGTATATATTATATATTACATTCTTGGTTCTTTCGTTAAGTCACGTAGAAGGGAAATAGTAAAATAATACAAATATAAAAAATATATTTCTTATTATTTTATTATTTCCCTTCATATTCTTGGTTCTTTCGGTAAAGTCACGTAGAAGGGAAATAATTAAAAAAAACTATAAAAATATCTTTATTTTATTATTTCCCTTCTACGTGACTTTACTGAAAGAACCAAGAATATGAATCCCTGTAGTCACGAAAGCTTGAAATCAAAGAGTATATATATTTTTTGCTTTTAAGGCAACATCTAATACAAATTGTCGGTTTCAAATGTAAAGTAGATTAAATCGACTTAAATTTTGATTTAAAGCTTTCGTGACTGCAGGGATTCATATTCTTGGTTCTTTCGGTAAAGTCATGTAGAAGGGAAATAATAAAATAATATAAATATAAAACAATAAAAATTCAATTTGTATAATTTTAATAACACGTAACAATACAAATATAAAACAATACAAAATATGTTTGTATAATTTTAATATTACATATTAAAACAAAAAAATATATATTTGTATTATTTTATTATTTCCCTTCTACGTTACTTTACCGAAAGAACCAAGGATATAAATCGACTTCATGAGAAGTCGTTTCAGTTGTTTTGAGTTTCACTCGTAACGACCCCCGGACGCAGCAAATCCACATCCGTTTCCCTATGACGCGCTGGGGATGTTTACACCGCCCATTGACAAAACCTTTGTAAGTCATAATTGCCCCTAGGGCACACATTCCGTTGTGCGTCCTTCCACGGCTTCAACGCTAAGTGAGCCCCCAGGGCATTTTCTTTATTCACTTCGCCAGCTACTCTCGCCACCTCGTCTTCATCAGCCGGTCTCCCTGTGCGCGGTAACAGAACGTTCGTGGCGCTAACGTCTTAAGATTTTAGTTTACGCCGATAATCACAATAACATTCGTGTGACAACGATGAGGTTGACGAAGCGAAGGGGTTTGAGCGTCAATCCCACGCTCGTCGTTGTTGTTTGAGTTGCGGAGTAATTGAGTGCTTGGGACGTGAGTTTTGAGTCGTTGGCTTTAGCGTTTTCGCATTGAAGGTTACGAATGTTTTCTTTAACTAAGCCTATTTTACCTAACTCTTCGTATCATTTAGCTCGTGTTTTAGTAGCTTGTTTAAGTAGCCGTGTGCCCCTCTTTGTGCCAAGTCAGCGGTGTTTCTCATGCGCGATGTACTCGACCCCGTCGCGAGAATGAGGAATTTCCGCAACAACAAAGAACATTCCATGAACTGTGTATACTTGTTTAAATGTTTTACTACTTCGTCAACACGATTGATCCTTCCGATGGCCTCGACCGTTTTAATTGTCACGACTGGCTGCGTACGGTGCGAAAGAAGTTCAACGTAAATAAATGTGGCATTTCCAGTTTCCCTTTAAACTTCGTAATTGTGTTAAAATGTTAATTCTTAACGCTGTACGTTTTCTTAAGTTGTAATTCCCCAGCTGTTGGATTGGAATGTGATCACATTTTATCATTACTCGATTCTCGGCAAGGTAAGGTAAAAGGTAAAAACAACGAGCCTACCTTTACCCTACCTTTTACCTTACCACAATACAATCACTCTACCCTGCCTTTTACCCTTTAGCAAGGTAAGGTAACAGGTAAAAAACAACGACCCTACCTTTACCCTACCTTTTACCCTTACCCCATACAAATTACCCGATTACAGGGTAATTACTGGGGTACTACTACACATGAAAAAGGTTTATAACAGGTAAATGCTAGGTAGAGCGCTTAATTCATGTAGAATACTCTGGATGATTCCAATTTTACATGCTTGTATCCTCAAATCTTGTAACTCAATTTTAACCCACTTCCCAATGTGGTATCGACTGCAAACTTGGTATACGTATGTCATACTGATGACAATACTATATTCTATCATAAAAAAATAAAAAATTACATTTTTTTTTATTTGTTATGTTTCGGCTTGGGTCTAATTGTCCACGGTCAGCTGACGTTGGCTGTAATTGGCCACGGCTCCTTACGTTGTGGCAAGCTTCGGGGCCACTTCCTGGAGTCGTGGAGTTCTGCCATTACTAGTACATTTCATAAAAGCATGTTTAAAACAGTTTTTAAAAATATTACTTATTAAATTGAAGCCACGGACTGCGCCACGGTACCGTATTTACCGGGTAATACTTCTCGCTACCTTTACCCTACCGGGTAATTCTTCCGAGCTACCTTTACCCTACCCTTTAAACTTACCCCTTGGCATGTCGACACCTTTACCCTTTTACCCGGTAAAAAGGGTAAATTACCTTACCTTGCCGAGGTCTACTCGACTCTTGTCAACGGTGTAATATGGAACTTCCACTAAAACTGAATTCCACCAAGCTACGTGAAATATATTTAAATTCTAATTGTGTTACTTTGACTACTATGGTCAGTGTTTACAAGCTTTGGGAAGATACTACTTTGTGACATCAACAGCGCACCGATGAGCAAGGTTGGGTTATGTACGGTGCGAAAGAAGTTTCAACATAGAGTGCATGCATACAACAGTTGGTATAATATTGACCAATGAAACCCCATTATGGGAATGTGGAATTTCCACAACTAGCTTACGCCTGTAAACTGGAATTGACCTCCATGCCACGCTCGTTTAAGCAATTAAAACACGCTCACATTTCTAATCTAATTCTAGATTTGAAGTTTTCGTGACTGCAAGGATCAATACTCTTTGGTTCTTTCGATAAAGGCACGTAGATGAAAAGTAAAAATAATAATAAAAAGAAAATAACTAAATAAAATCACGACGTTTCGGAGGCAACACAAGCTTCTTGCTGTGGCTCTTCCACCTGATGACGGAAGCTTGTGTTGCCTCCGAAACGTCGTGGTTTAATTTAGTTATTTTCATTTATTTATATTTTTCATCTACGTGACTTTACCGAAAGAACCAAAGAGTATTTCTAATCTATTTACTAATGAAGTAGGAATTGTGTGGTTAATTTCGGCCGTTTAATCAGAGCACAGACTGTATGACCAAATCATCCGGAATGCACCCAGTCTCGGAAGCTAAGCTGGATTTAGCCTGGAGGACACGTGGTAAAAAAGCTGTTACAGGGCTACGTACTCAACAGACGGCAGTGCAGCAAAATCCATGTTGTGGTACTCTACATCTATGCTCCCGCATGTATGCTCTCCGCCTTAACCAAACCGCACTGGCCAGTGTGAAGATGATCACATAAACCCCCACTGTGTGTGGAGGCTCACATCCAGCAGTGGATTAACAACATGCAAATCTAACGTATAATATGCACTACCTATTTTCATATTAATTTGTTTAATCCGAGCCTAGGCTCAACATTTCAGATCCAAAAAAAATATTTTTTTAAGATTAATCACTTGTAAGTAGTGGCACTGGAAGACATCACTTGCTTTTGCCAACAAAAAGGATGTCATGTGGCATCGGGGTACGTCACTATTGTGAGCAGAGTTTTTCTCACGAAAGCAAAATGGAAATGATCCAGAAACTACCAAACAAAATTTGAAATTGTCCTTAAATATCTGAAAATGTAAAGGTTTTCAATCCAAAACTCATGCATCTAGTATACACATGTGTTATATTGGCATATGACCTGTCTGCCTGAAAATTCCATCATAACAGATTATATGCTATAAACTCCCAGAAGTGTATCTTGGTTGCTATTGTTTAAGCAAAACATTAACTCTGTAATTCTAGATTTGAAGCTTTTCGTGACTGCAAGGATTCATATTCTTAGGTTTTTTATTTTACTTTTATTCATTTTAATGTTTTACCTACGTGACTTTACCGAAAAAACCTAAGAATATTAACTCTGTAAAGCTACATCATGAGGTTTAAGGCGTAAGGTGGAATACGAGCACCATTACTGGATAGTCTTGCGTGTCCAGAGCTAATGAAAACGGAGACAAGAATGAGTGGGGGGGGCGATGTGAGCTTAGAAAGCACCCACGTTCACATGTTAGAATGTCTAGAGCTTTACATTTATCCTCATTTGGCCTTGGAGTCCCTGGATGGAAATTACCAGGACAGTCTTTTTGGAGGGTTATACTTTTTTCCCAGAACTGTGATCATTCTTTGAACAGGAAATACTATGGACATGTGTTTCAACTGTACTTTTCGTGGAAAACTCAAGTGACAGAAAAACTGACACGAGGGCATTTTCTTCATCTTGTCAGGTTATTTTTTTTCTACAATGTATTAACAGTGTGCAGGTGATGAATTCGTCAGTATTCAGTAGTCAGAAGTGATAACTGCACATTACAGGATGTTTTCGTGTAATTTCTATGCCGTATACGCAAGGCTACAGTACCATTCCATATAATGGATCACTTAGCCCAAGTAATAAACATGAATACGGACGTAACATAATATTGTACACCATATTCTTATAATATGTATATTGCACATTGTGTGCTAGAAGCAATCATATTACAAATACCAAAAATTCCCATAAAAATAATTTGAAGCGGAGTTTTTTTTATTCACAGCACATGTTGACATATTTACGTGTTGCAGCCCAGCATTTGCCACCTGGATGTCACATAGCAAGCGATGAAGGGCCTCAACTGGGGACAATAAGATCGGAGGTCCCTCTCGCTCGCTTCTTCCTCTTCCCTCCTCGCCTGCGCTCGTGGTCTTTGGCTCCGGGGCAAGCGGCACCGGTAAAAACATTGGAGGGCAACTGCCATTGCCACGCCGTGAGCCATGAGTTCGACACGCAGAGAAACGGATCCACTACTGGGAGGTGTGCTGCCAAAGCAGGGTCGCAGAGGGATGTCACCGGCCGTCAACGACACCAAACTTCGCAGGTGGCTTGCTGTCCCATCCTTTCTGCCGTGTGTGCATCTGCTGTCTAATCCACACCCCTGGCTCACCACTCGTTTAACACATCACTTTTGCAATACTATTTCGGACGCAGGTTTAATTGAAACTGCTCGTTCTGCCTCTTCCTTGCGGTGGTTGTTTCCTAGGAATTTTCTCATTTGGTATAATTTTTATTTTACTATAAGTTGCATGTAGGCGCAGCTCTGAGGCTTTCAGCGTGTCAACTGAATCCTAAATATACTCCAGTGGTTGTCAACCTTTTTTGGCTACTGCGCCCCTTGAATTTTGTTTCAACCGAGTACCCCCTTGCCTCACCCAACATGGTTCTTAGAAATACATGTATGAATAATGAACGGCAATATTTTTACCCTTGCCCATTTTGTGAGGTATCCTCACTAGCGAAGTAACTGCAAGCGAATAAAAAAAATCAACGCATTACGTCATTTGTTCGCACTCGCTAGTTACTCTTGGAAACCACGTTGTCTACAATCATTGAGTTTAGAAAGGTAATTTATATCGTTCCAGGTTACCATATTGATTTAAAATCTATTTTAGTTATTTTTTTATTGGCAGATTCATCAATGATTATTCACCAATGACTCATGTACGATATAATGTCACATTTATAAATCACCTCACGTACCTCTTGGGACATTTCCACGTACCCCTAGGGGTTTGCATGCCCACAGTTGAGAACCGCTGCTCCACTATGCATTTCTTTAATATACACAGTATGTGGGGAAAAAATATGCTTATGTAACCTCGCATGAAATTGTGCTGCAAATAGAACCAAAATAGAACGTCTTTTAATACAGTTGATAGAAGATGAGATACGAGCATTTGGAGTAATTCCAAGCTGCAACTTTTTCAGAAAAAGTTTATTATTCAATCGAATATGACAGACTTATTTGTACATTGCCACATCATGCATCCATCATCACAAAATATTCATAGAATCTCTGATCCTGGTTGCAAAGAATATCCTTCTCGTATTGTAACCGTTTAATCAAAAGGGCTTCTGTATGCTGATCACTAGAAGCAGAGTTAAGCCTGCATTGCACTTGGATAAGTAACCACCATGGGCAAACTGATTTTAATAGATTTGAAGTTTTCGTGACTGCAGGGATCCATACTTTTTGGTTCTTTTGGTAAAGTCACGTAGGTATAAAATAAAATACATTTATTTTTTAAATAAATTTCTCTTAATAAAAAAATTATTATTATAAATTTATTTTATACCTACGTGACTTTATAAAATAAATTTATTTTATTTTCTATCTTCGTGACTTTACCGAAAGAACCAAAGAGTATGGTTTTCATAGGCCTGTTGGGCTACGTGGTGGGAAGCAGAGGGTAGGGCAGCAACATCCATCTCTGTCCTGTACATCTGTGCTCCCACATCTGTGCTACTCACCTTCAACCACGCACTCACATGTTCAAGTATATAACCACGACGACCCACACGGCATGGGGAGGCCCTCATCCAGCAAGGGATTGAAAAAAAACAAGCCATAGACTATTGGGGAAAGTTTTGTTAGCAAGCGTATATTAAGCCCATTCACTATTGCTTATTCGGTGCTGGCATTCAAATGCATCTAAGTAGTCCTACCAGGCTTGGTTAAACTTAGGGAGGCCAATGGAAATGTTGCACTAGTTTGTACTCATTGGTAGAGGGAGGCTATGGCTAAATGGGCTTAATAAACATAAAATGCCATTTACCAGCTTGCGTTATTCAAACATAGCCTAGACAGTAAAACGTGTGAAAGCAATGGATGAACCCATACAATCATAATTTTTTCCACAGCGTTTTCTCACCAAGTTCACGCATGTGCTCGTGCGCGCGTGTGTGTGACTGGGCGGTCCCTCGCATCGCAGACCGTTCTACGTGGACGCACAGAGCATCGTGGAGCGCGACGCGGAGAGCGGCGAGGAGCGCCTTGCTACCGTCTCCCCGGCCGCATCCCTGCTCTCCAGCCGCCTGCGCTACTACAGCCGCCTCTCGTCCAGCAACTTGACCACCCTGGTTAGCCCCACCTTAGAACTCTGGGGGTGGGCGGGTGGTGACGCACATTGCCTGGCTTGTTAACTGCTTAACTGCCGTCAGGCCAAAATGTAACGCGCGCGTGTCAAACGGCCATGGAAAGACGAGTTCTCGGAGAGATTAAAATTGTTTTCACGCGCATCCCCTTGTTCCGAAAGAGAACATTCAATGGAAAGTTGATCGCTGAAAAGGGGCTGGAATGCGGCAAGTGGATTTACCATTGAACATCTGAAAGGCACAACGGTTTCAACCGCAGTCACAATTTAATTACGGGAGCATAACGTGGGGACATATGGCACGTATGCTCATTAAAGGACGCATTCTGTGGGTGTCAGCAAAGAACTTAAGAGTGTTACAACTTACTTAATTATACTAACTTGTCAGATGCTCTACAGAAATGCTAGAGTGTAAGCTATTCTATATATGCAGTGATGGTTACCTTATGTGCATTGTATTTTATTGCTTTGGAAAATAAGGAAAATTAGAACGTATCACATGCATAATCATAGCATTAACATTTGTTACCACCGTATTAAATCAATATCAGGTGTGTAGTATGGAAGTTGTCATCCATTCTTACATGTGAATAGTTTTATGCGATTACACTGGTATTACCTCATCGTAGCTTTTTATGCCCTTGAAAACAAACCCTAGCAATTGATTGGTGAGAGTGTGGGTATGTAGCTGAGTTGGCAATGCACGTGAGTGCGGGTTTGTGTGCGCGTGTGTGTGCGGTAGTGCAATGGTTTAGCGAGCTGTGCTATGAGTTCGATTCCTAATCATGGCCAACACCAGTGACGATTATCTGAACCGGTTCTGGGCAGCCCCTACATCGACTCGGCCTCAAATGAGTACCTGGTGCGGTGTGTGAACATCGCCACTGGGGAGCCAGAGGCGACCGGGCGTGGTGTTGGCCACCCACCCCCTCGTGCCGGCCTTATAGCTGCTCGCTAACAGCACTTGCCCCAACAGTCTGTTAAGGCTACACGGGGGATCTTTGTCTTTGTCTGCGTCCACAGCAAGCCCCGCATCATGTTATCCCGGCGCCAGATGAGATTTACGTGTACAGTCCCCTGGGCACCGCCTTTCGAGTTAAAGACACGCCAGACGGCGCCAAGCAGCCAAGCCTGGTCACCATGTAAGCAAGCACCAGGCCCACTTGGGTGAGGTGCGCTCACTCGCTCATTGACGGGATCGATCGTCGACAACCACGCGCCGCATTTTCAGTCCCCACTCTACCTTTCCCCTGTTAGCTCACAATTGCGGTGTAATAATAATTTGTCTCTGTCCGTATTGATCCTTGGGAAGTGAGCAAAGCGAATGCCCGGTGCATTTGCTTGCCGCCGTGTTACCTGCGAGTGCAGTTTGTGTAAAGAGAGCGGTGTCTGGCATGTGTTGCTGTGTGTACAATGCGAGAAAAAAGTTTTGCATGTTTAAGCAGCACACAAGGTCAGAATACAATGCAAGGCAATTAATTATGCATGCTCTTTTAAGCTTTGGCACTGTAAAATATATACAAATGTGGAATCCACACGAGTTCCAAAAAAAATCTTATGCTCAGCGTTGTGCATGTTGATGGCAGGTCAGTGCTTTCATGCTTTGGCTTATCGCTTCCAATTTCCATTGATTTGTGGCGTAATGCTGTCAAAGCTGCTGCTGTGTTACATCCAGGGTGTCAACAGTCGATTACTGACAAATCCAAAATAATTGTGGGTTGTTGCACATCAATTTGCAACCTCATTAGACACCTCAAAATACAGTAGTGTATTTATAGTAATAGGTTTTTACCCTTTCAACTGGTACAAAAACTGACACCTTTATACAAGGCATGTTTGCAATAACTACAACACAAGCAGTCAAAATGCAAACAAAAAGAAACAACTCTGATAATGATATGCACTGTCACTTTTTGTACCAGTTGAAAGGGTAAAAACCTATCACTATATTTTGCCACTGGTAAAGGAGGTCTCATAGTAGTGTATTTATTTGTTCAGAGAAACCATTATATTTGAATCCCACAAAAGCACTAGGTATTTATAATATAATAAATTACATTCAAATCAAAACATACACATAGTAAAAACATACTATGATGCCAAGTATGTTTTTTTCTTGCATTTTGACTGCAAGTATTGTGGTTAATGCAGACATGAACCCTTGTAAAAATGTTTCAGTTTTGTTGCCAGAAAAAAGGGGGGAAACCCTATTATTATATTTTGGTACTGGCAAAGGAGGTCTAATGAAATAGATAGTGATGTTCATTGCATTGTGGAATTGTTTATGGGAGTAGATACCTTATTCACCAGTTTGCATTTCTTTATTTTTGTTCAAAGTTTTGCCATTTGGAACACAATGATGGGCACCTCCATCTTGAGCATCCCCTGGGCAATGATGCAGGTAACCCTGACATGTACAAACACTTTTACTATTGAAATAGTCTGCAATGGAATTCTGTTTTCTAAGATGGTAAAGGTACAGGCATGAAATTGCTCGCTCACGCAACTACTGTTTGAAAGGGCTCCACTATAAGGAGCTCAGTAGAGCTTCTGGTGGGTATTTTGGCCTACTCTTCCACTGGGAAAACGTCTTGTTAGAGATGAACGTACCCCCACTTTCCCCACCACTTGTGATTTGCCAGTTGACTAAATGCGGTGTACCCATTTATACTGCTCGGGGAGCAGAGGCAAGAGGATTTGAAATATGTTCCCATTGTTTCAACTGCCGTGCAGAGAACAAACCGGGTACCTCTGGATCGGTATGAAGAAAGCCAATTGCCCAAAACGTCACCTGTTATATATTTCCTTTTAAGGAAATGTTATTGGCCATGTTGAGCTTTCTGGATTGCAAGTCCAGTGTGCGAACCATTACACTGCAGCAGAGTCCCTGTTTAATTAAAATGATTTGTATGTAAATTGAGTCCCTGTTTAATTAAAATGATTTGTATGTAAATTGAGTCCCTGTTTAATTAAAATGAATTGTATGTAAATTGAGCTTGCCCCCTCCGTTCACCGTGCATTTGCTTATCTGTTCAGGCGGGCTTCACTTTAGGAATCATCATCATCTTCCTGATGGGGCTGATCACCCTTTACAGCTGCTATCGCATCCTGCAGTCACCGAAAGCCATCGGTGCGTGTGCACTTGCACGCACGCACGCACACACTACTGCGCTTCCTAAAAACACAGCTGATAATCTGATTCTTCTCATCCTAGAGTGAATACTTTGTCTTGTGCAACATCGAGCATTCTACTGAGGCATTTGTCGTGTGTTGGATGGCAATATCGGCGGTCCGGATTTATTCACAGTTATGAATAAGATCGGTGGCATTTGGTGTCTGAGCCTTTCCTGGGGCCTTGACTTGGTTGTTTCAGCCTTAAATGAGTATCTAATGCAGTGTGAAAACTTAAGATATGGGAGACTTGAGCGGGCCAAACAAGGTGTTGGCCCACCACTTTCTTTACATACGATGCTGGCCTTAGTAAATGCTCACTAATGAAATTGGCCCCTGTAGTCTGGAAGGTTTAACAGACTATCGTTTTCAACTAATTAGAAAAAAACAATATATAGAAATGTACCTCAATACAACAGCACACACTTGCTGAAGATACACAACTGTGCTAAGGCCAGTCTACCTAGAACATGGGTTTTGCAACCAAAACAACAAAAGCTTTTTTTTCTAATTTATTTTTTTAAAACACAAGAGCCGTATGAGACGGTCCTTAATAAATAATATCACGAAACAGTCCTTAATGAGCCGCATGCGGCTCTGGTGCCACAGATCTATCAACCCCTGCACATGGTAAACTGGACTTCCATGGTGAACTGGACTTTTATAGTAAACGAGGCTTCCATGGTAAACTGGACTTCCATGGTGAAACTGGACTTCCAGGTTAACTGAACTTCCACGGTGAAACTGGACTTCCATGGTCAACTGGACTTCCATGGTGAAACTGGACTTCCATGGTGAAACTGGACTTCCATGGTGAAACTGGACTTCCACGGTGAACTGGACTTCCATGGTCAGGGTTCGGCAACCAAAATAACAAGAATAGCTATTTATTTTTTTTACTCTGGAGCCGCATGTTGCCGACCCCGTGACCTAGAATGATGCTTTTGCCACTCTTTCCCAGACGGTGGTGAAGGCATGGACTTCCCTCAGGTGTGCGGCCACTATTTCGGGCGCTTTGGCCAGTGGATGAGCCTCCTCTTCTCGCTGGTGTCTCTGGCCGGCGCCTTGATCGTCTACTGGGTGCTCATGTCCAACTTCATGTACAACACTGGCCGCTTCATCTACGGTGAGCTCGAGTCTTAGGTCGCAAACGGGTTTTGATTCCTTACCCGTACCCATACCGGCCGCACCAGGGTCGCAAACGGGTACCCGTACCCTACCCATACCCTACCCGTACCCAGCCGGGTACGGGTAGTGTATGGGTATCGGGTACCTGATTGCGACCTCTGGGATGAAGCCATGTTGCTAGGCGCGGGTGGGTTGATTCTAGGAACTTGAATTGTGAGAAGAGACAAGACGTTGGGAAATGAGTGACAAATAGTTACTCACCAGTGACTCACGGTCTACCCGTACCCGGCCACACCAGGGTCGCAAACGGGTACCCGTACCCGGCCGGGTACGGGTAGCCGGGTATCGGGTAGGGTACGGGTATCGGGTACCCGGTTGCGACCTCTGGCTCGAGTGCACAGACAGGTTGCAGGGCTACCGTGGTGGGCAGTAGAGGGCAGTGCAGAGCAATCTTATGGTGTTGTATTGCTATGCACCTTTGCTCTCTCCTTGCAATACCATTTGAAAAACAAGATACATTTGGGGAATTTCCACAGTTACGGAACTAAAAGACCGATGCATTGGTGTCAGCCAGCTACGATGATATGCGTTCTTCTTTATGGTATTGGTTGGTGGAGTGGTGGTGCAGTGGATAGCGCACTGCGAACCAAAACCAGCGACCCGAGTGCTGTTACCAAACAAGGAGAGTGATATCATCACCAGTATTGTACCTAGTTCGTTTGCCAACCCAGAACTGGGCAGCGTGGTGAATTTGGGTGAAATAATCCCCATGCCCCGCATGCCATAATAGAGGCCCTCATCCAGCATTTCATTGCCAATATCGGCTGTACTTGTACATGTGCATTCTGACCAAGATGTGTGATTGGCTTGCACCATGACTGTCTACTGGGTGCTCATGCCCAACATCATGTGCAATGCGGGCCGCCTCATCTATGTATGTTGAACTTATTTTCAATGTTGAGATTGTGCCGGACTTGCCCTTTCCAAAGCTCGCTTCCTCCGTACAGAGGCATGAGGTCATGGTCGACTCAGCCAATAGTAATATGTGTGGGGATCGGATTAATCAGCACCACATGTCATGATGTCAGCGTCTCTTGGCATGGTGGCGCACACCTGGAATGTAGAGCTTTGGTGGCTCGCCCTTTTGTATTCCGGAGACCCCCAAACCAGCCGGACTGCGAATTGGCCATTAGATAGCAGTACTTTACCGTCTCAATCTCTCTTGCCTCTCCATAATCTTTTCTCCCACTGCTTGTCGCTCTCCTCTCTCCGTTTTGCTCTGCCTCTTGCGTCACCATTTGATGCCATTTCACTCTCTCCTAGCCACTCTCCTCTCCACTCTCCATCTCTTGTTCCCTCTATCTCCCTCCGTCTATCTTTCTCCTCTCGCATTTGCACGGAATACACGGCCAGGGTGCAGGGTGGGTTTGGGGGGGGGCATGCACAAACCGGCTGAGCGCTGTGGTATGCAGGTGATGTCATCGCGCAGATGTGCACATTTATGTCACCGCTGCGCTTGCGCATTTGGCCATGGGCCAACCAGGAATCTAGTTATAAATCCAGGCAAAGAATCCAAGCAGTAATCTAGCCAGCAAACATTTTTTCTAACATAGCATGGTAAGATACCCGATTTGAAATTTGCCATGTACTTCCAAGGACAGGCTCCAATGGTTTATTGCGAATGCGAAGTATTGTGAATGTTTAGTACCGTTTTGACTGTGCAACCACATTCTAAACAGCAGAGGGCAGTGCAGCAACATTTATGGTGGTCAAGAAGCACGTTTCTGGTGTGGGCCAAATGGAAATGACTTTTTATGATAGAGAATGTTGGAATGCAATGAATGGACATCCGTACATCTAAAGAATGCGTGTGTGTAAGTCTGATCTGTGGGAAGGGCACATCTTAAGCACGCTAACTCTGGTCATCCTCACACCAGCTTTTGCTTAACCATTGAACAAAGACGGTCACTGCATCGCGCGCTTTCAGATGTGTTTCTACGGCAGTCCACAACGCTCTTCCGTCCGATATTAGGAAGCCACTGGAGTGATGCACTTTAAAATCTAGATTGAAAACTAATTTCTTCAGATCTGCTCTTTGGGTTTAGTTTGTGGTCCTTCCCACGCACCTCTGATTAACATTATTGGCTACATACGTTGCGAAAAATAAGATCGACATACATACGTGTGTTGGAAAAGTATTTGGCCTGGTGTTATTGATTTTTGTGATGCCATGAAGGAATTTAAATTTTCGAGAGCATATTTGATACCCGAGTACAGGGAATTGCACATAAGCTGCGAGTTAAACTTTGTTAAAGAGTGGAGACATGAAGACTGATGTGTTCTATAAGAATGTGGAATGTCCACCACTGATTCAGGACTGACAACGATGGCCACCACAATGTGTGCGCAGTAGTGCACAGGGAGACCCTTTGAGTTGTTAATCATGTGTTTGTACTTGTGATGTACTTTCTGCGTGACAGACAAAGCCTGTGGAATAAACATGACGGATAATATCCCGAGAACAAATGGTTCTCATCCAGGTATGACATGCACATGACAGCCATAAACTGTTTGAATAACTGCAAACATTTACATTTGGTATATTAACAAAATGTTTCAAGAGAAATGTGTAAACAGTTCCAATAAAATAAGTGTTATACGTGTATAAATCACATTGCTAATACCACTCATACATAAATCACGTAACACATCTTTTATCCAAATAAAACCTCCAAAGCACTTTGTCGGACACAAAACCTTCATCTTCCATGCTGCATCACAATTCCACTTATGCAAATCCACCAAGTTTCTGCATTCAACGCCAGTGACTCAAAAGATAACCACTGCAGATGAAATTCCACCAACACCAGGACTTTATGTAAATACTCCATCACCTTTGTGGGCTGCTGTTGGCATGAATGACATGATATAAAATGATAGTATGTTTCGATTTAAAGCTTTCGTGACTGCAGGGATTCATCTTCTTGGTTCTTTCGGTAAAGTCACGTAGAAGGGAAGTAATAAAATAATAAAAATAAAACATAATAAAATAATTCTCACCTGAGGACGGCTGCTTGCGTTGTGGCCGAAACGTCGTGAGAATTATTAATGTATTATGTTTTATTTTTATTATTTTATTACTTCCCTTCTACGTGACTTTACCGAAAGAACCAAGAAGATGATAGTATGTTTTATATTATTAAAAGAACCACGAATTTCAAATACACTTTAAAGTTTCTACTTAAAGGAATTGACGTCAAAGTTACCGCGTGCGGTGCTGCGCTGCAGTGCTCTGCCCGAACCCTGTCAAACAGCTGTCCAACGTGACTGGCTATGAGGGCCTCCTCATGCTGGTGCCGGGAGCGTTCGAAGGACCGCCTGAGGCAGGGCTGCGGGGGGCCACCAACGGCTCCTTTGAGACCTTCAATATGTTCTGGAGCCAGACCAACACCGTGCCCCTCTACCTGGTGCCTCTGCTGCTGCCTCTGCTCAACTTCCGCTCCGCTGCGTTCTTCGCACGCTTCAATAACCTGGGTGAGGCCCGGCGAGGGTGCGCCCCAGGATTTGGGAACAACTCGGGAGACGCTCGGAATTTAGAAACGAAACTCAAGCGTCCCAGCCGGGGCCAGAGGTCGCCGTAATACCAAACAGTCCGGGGTTTTCCGTTTGATTTAATTCCCTCCCGGCCTCGATTTATGGAGGGGGGCTGTATCGCGTCTGTTACAAAAGTAAACTCGGAGGAATAATGTGCAATTAAATTAGGTCATTTTTGAAAGCAGTCGCAATGTATCGAATCTGAGCTTGCTTTGCGAAAAGAGATATTGTATCCCTTTGGGCTTCTCACCTAGCTTCTGGAAATGGACGTGATTGATTGGTGAGCAGGGCTGGAGGGTCAAATGTATAAACAAAATGCAGTCTCTTGCGAGCGAGTCTGACACTGTTGACTTGGTCATGGGTTACGTTTCACAGCAATGAAAACAGCACCTGAATTTCGGTAATGATACTGCTCAGTGTTGGTCTCCCACTGCGCCCGATGGGACATTTTAAATAACTGGCAGTACAAATTGTGAGCTGGGTCAGCAGAGGGTGCCTTGCGCATGGCAGACGAGGCATGTTGGCAGCTCTGTTGAACGTACTGTAGACTGCTGCTGTTGTGTAATATACTTGGCTAAAGGGTTTACCTTTGTTGGTAATGTTGCATGGGTGATTCTCTGTATTGCATTGTACGTGTCAAATGACATGCGCAACAGCGTAAGATGGCATTTTCTTTTGAGCATCTTCCAAATTGTAATTAAACATGAAACTAAACAACAAATAGCGCTTATCTTGTAGATATCTACCAAGTCTTGTGTCCTGAGCTGTAAGATGGTATTGAAGCTCTGTTAATATGGTATACACCATAGTGTCCTACTGACATCACTGCATTGACGTTGCATTATAATGCATATAGCTGATGTATAACACTCACTAGAATTCGATAATTTTGCACTTGGCTTTAATATATATTTTCCCTCATTCACAAGGCTTCAAAAGCCTTATCAGACAGCCCTAGACCCGTTGCTTCAATATCACAAACTAAATAGCTATCTGGTTTTCAGGCTGTATCTCCCTTCAATACCTCGTGTTTTCAATCTGTTGAGTGCTTAAATAGAGTACATTCATGTTCTTTAAATCAGTGACACTTTATATGTATTTGCTATAAAGTAATTGACGTTTGCCAGTGGCTTCATACGGGCAGTCCCAAGTTGGCGGTCTGTAGCCAGTATGTTGTACAAACATGTGGCTTGATTTTGAAAGTGTGAGTTGTGTTGAGCGGTAGCCTAATGGTTAACGTGCTGCCCTACGAACCCGGCGGCCCGAGTTCGACTCCCGCTCATGGCCAACACCAGTGACGATTAGCTGAACCGGTCCTGGGCCTCCCCGAGGTCGACTCAGCCTCAAATGAGTACCTGCTGTGGTGTGTAAAAGCATCGCGACTGGGGAGACAAACGTGGCAGGGCGTGGTGCTGGCAACCCGCCCCCTCGTGTGTCACTAATGAAGGCCGGCACGGCGATACGGAGGGATCTAAGTCTTGTCTTTTTTGTGTGGTTACCACTTTGCAATGTAGGCACAATCTCTGTGGTTTACCTCCTGATCCTGGTCACAGTCAAGGCCTCCCAGTGGGGGATCCACCTCGACTTCCACTGGATCTCGACCAGCGACATACACTTTGTGCCTGGTAAGCTTATCAAGTCAGAATATTAATTTATTTATACTGGAGGAATCAGATTAGCTATAAAGCTCTTTTTTACAGATGTCCAGGAGGGGCAGGTCAGAACATTACAACAACAAAGAATACTAAAACACGATACGAGTGCAAAGTATAGGAAAGGTAACAAATCAGTTTAAAATTCTATACAAATAAAATTCTACTTTTTTTTATCTTACCAAGTAAAGCCCACTGAGTCATTAGCTTCTTTTTCAGATGCGACTTGGCCACAAATGATAGCTCAATGAAGTGACTTATCATGTGGAATTGTATAGCAGCTAAATTATCTCAGCGCAGCACATTAGGATTACAACCAACAATGCGTTTGTTTTTCAAACTGGTATCTGGATGAAGTTAAATCGAAACAGGAACACATGGGTGAGAGAATAGAGACAGGTTAAAGGCATACGTTGTACTGTTAAGAAAAATAATTGGACTTAGGCGGTGCACTTCGCTAGAAGGGAAGGTGGTTGACAGCCAAGGAACGGATATATCCGAGAGGACGTCTTCCCATGGAAATGGAGTGATGAAATCAGCTGCAAGTGCATGGTGGACTATTACATCGCAGGGTCATGATAGATTGCAACAGCCTGGGGAGGCATTCATCCAGCAGCGGTTTGATCATGGCTGGATGAGCACTTTTGTACCTTGTTCCTGTTGAATCTTTTTTGTGGTCGTGTGTTTGTGCTTGCAGAGTTTCGCCAGTTTTTCCCTGCCATGACAGGCATCCTAACGCTTGCCTTTTTCCTTCACAACTGCGTCATCACCCTGGTCAAAAACAACCGGCATCCCGAAAACAATGTACGCTAACATTCCCCCAGCATAACACACCATACGTTTCGCCATTCATTATGTTCGATGCCTTAATCGTAAAAGCGTTCCATAAAGAGCCTCAATGGCCTCGATTTCCTTTCGCTAAGCATGTATCGTGTGTGTGTGGCGGTGTGACGTGCGTGTGAGCAGGTCAGAGATCTCTCTATTGCTTATGGCCTGGTTGGCTTCACGTACCTCTACGTAGGAATCCTGGTGTTTGCCTCCTTCCCATCTCCACCGCTGTGGAAATCTTGCATTCAAGAGGCAAGTAAAGACCACTCGATATACTGCATATATGCCGTATCATTTTACTGCATAATTTTTATCGATATGTATATAATAAGAAACGAATATAATTGCACATATATATTATTGTTCAGGCTTAGGTAATGAGTAAACACAGCCTTAATTCGGCATCATTACACTGATAAGAACATGAGCATGGCTAACCCCGTGAGTGATTGGGAGATGTTTGGGGTTAACCTGAATGTTGGGCCTAATCATCACTTAAGTACATTATGCTGATTATAATTGTATTGAAATTATAATTGAACCCAGAAATGCATCACTAATTGTATTATTTAAAAACTGTGGATCTGGCAACATTTGTATTACTTAATTAGGCCCTGTGGAATATAAAATTCTGTCTCCACCTCTCTGCCTGCTGTAAAGAAGGACCATTGCCCAAAACGTCACCTATTACATCGACTTTTTTTATTTTTAAAGCCGTGTTATTGACAAATGTGTTTTGAGGTTGTTTTTGTTTATATATGGGTAGTGCGCTTCCCTTGTCTGGTAGGTATCTCCACCAACGCGCACTGACCAGCATGGTGAAGTATAGTCACATATCTTTCCCCCTATGGTAGTGCAGTCTGAACCATGGTCCTTCGTCACCTGCAACTCTGATTTCATCACACAGGATGGCAACATCGTAGGCATAGGAGTAACGGATCTTAGGATTCACTAGGTAAGAACAGAACACCTTCTTGACTGGATAGTTACTGCATACGACACGTGGACTGTATCCAAATAATCAACCGTCGACAAACTGGGGACAGAATTGAGAGATTTAAAATGAGACATAGTTGGCCTCGGTGGTGTGATAACAAAAGGTGACTCCATAACTTCTGCAAAATGGCAACCTATTCTATCTCAGAGTGATAGTTGACATTAATTATGGAGGAGCAGGATTCTTAGACTCTCTGGGAATAATACATCGAGTTTTGGGTTTCAAGAGTATATCGGATAGAATTGCCCAGCTAATGGTAAGCCTCTAGAATCACGATGGGTTTAACATAATGCGAGTGTATGTCCCAGCAACAAGTCATAGAGATGAACAGGTAGATAAAATGTTTGAAGAAATTAACCAACTCGTGAGCGAGGGGTAAAAATTATGGCATCGTCATGGGTGACTGTATCGCAATAGTTGGTAACAGTTGCAGTGGCAAGGAAATTATTACGTTTAACATTGCAAGAAGGAATACAAGAGGTTATCTTCTGTTAGTGATCACTATATGAAGTTAACGAATATTATTTTCAAAGAGAAATATAGGAGATGGAAATGAAGTGGGACCCACGTGATTAAATTAATAATGGGCTTCACCTAGTTATAACAAACAAAACTTGGATTGTCGGAGACATCTGTGTCCTCAACAAAACGAACGTGCAAATATATCACAGGGTGGTGCGATGCAGGGTGCACTTCAACATCGCCAAAGGACAAAGCTAATTGTAGGCACAAACGAAATAGTTATTAAAAAATGTAGGTCAAGGCGTAGCTGATTTTAGACTCAAACCTAAGCGTCATATTCAAATGTCTAGCGAAACACAATGATTGAAGTGACAAATGGATGTCACCACTCTGAATAATGTAATAACTAATGTAACAATGGAAAGTGCATTAAAGTGGTTAGAAAGGTAACATTATCTTAACGGCAATATACATGCTCAGAAAGAGGATAGATTTTTAAAGGGAAAGATATTCTAAGCAAGTTATATTCACAGTGACATTAGAAGATGTTTTCTCAAAATCGTATTGGAGAAACTAAGGCATCGCAAATGACAGACATTGTATTGTATTAATAAAAGTATGTTGACTTGGATCGGACACGTCGCTAAACGAGTTGATGGCTCGTGGTGAAATCTAACATCAGTGGCAGCACAAATAGGTAACTCATCGACGGCGGATGAAGAACGATGAAATTGGCTTGCTTACAGGAGCTATATTGTTGCATCGCAAGACACTGACAGATGGCGACGGCTTGGGTAGGCTTTCATCCAGCAGTGGATGGATCATAGCTGATGATATGAAAGTGCTAAAATGTTTATAACTATTAGGTTTTACCCATCGGCTAATCCACAGTGTGTATACGTTTTGCTTAATATATTTTATCACTGCACATCATCCCCTTCATTGTATTTACAGAATTTCTTGGACAATCTCCCAAACGATGACATCATGGCTCTGCTGGCACGAGTCTTCCTGCTCTTCCAGATGAGCACCGTCTTCCCGATGCTGGCGTACATCTTCCGCGTGCAGATTTTCACGCAGATCTGGGGGAAAAGTTACCCGAGGTGACAGCCCTGTCAGTTTCCCTCCCGTTTAAAGAGATGAGGAGGCCACGAGGCACGGCTCAAAGCTCCACTTAATTTGACCAAATTGGCCTCGCCGTGTTTTCTGGAGTCACTTTGACCCGGCGTGGAAAAATAGACCCTGCATTGAATCGAGCGGAAAACTCGATCGATCGATCGTTCGTTCGTTCGTTTGACCGTTTCCACTAGGTTGTGCGAAAACTCTTAAAGGCCGCTATTTGTCTGCGTGCTCGAGTGAAATATGTCCAACTTTTAATGCAGTTAAACGTGTCGCACGAGGCGCTCACATTTGTTGTTTTTCGTGCCATTTGTTCCTCAGTGTGCTGCATGTACTGGTGCTCAATATGGTGCTCATCGGCTGCGGAGTTCTCGTCGCTCGATTTTACCCAAACATCGGCGCGATCATTCGGTAAGTGAGCCGTGCTGTTGGGTGCGGTCTAAGTTTTTTGAGTGCTTTGCGAACAGCGAAAAGTAAAAACAAGGAGAAAAATGTACGCATTTACGCACATAGAAAAAAATCTTGGGAAACTTCCCCCCCCCCCCCCCCCCCACTGCAAAAATAAACGGAATTCTGTGAAGGATGTTTGTGCTTCTGCATATTTTTGTGAAGCCTAAACCATGTGTTGCTCATAAAGTTCCTAATGTGTCACCCCGGTGTGGACCACTAGTCATGGTTGCCTGATTAAAGACAATACTTAGTAATAACAAAAAGCAGCCGTAATCTTGTTAACTATGCTTGAGGCATGTTAGGAATTGGTCAGAAATAAGATTAACTAATCATTCACAGTCTCATAATGTTACACTGGCCCAGCCGTCTTATATACTATTCTTAATAACGCTTCAGTAAAGTTTAGTTTCTCTAAACAAGATGTTTCGTATCGGTGATTTTTAAAGAAGGGTTAATCACCACAGCAGCAGGTCTGGGCATCGTATGTCGTACGAAAAAAAGAGTTCATTGCAGCGCTCAATATTTAATGAATTGGTTTGGACCCTAGGAAAATACTAGCTTTCTTTTACTGCACAGTGTGCCAAGCACACAAATTATTAATGCCGGTGAACAGGCAAGGGCCCCGAGAAAGCAATCTAAGCTTGGAGTCCAAGCTCAGCTCTCGTATTGCAGCTTCAATTACTCTTCAACAAAACCCCTTCACCTCACTTCCCTGCCTTGTGCCTCTTCTCGCATGCCACCCTCTCCCCATCTGACCCCCCCCACCCACCCCTCCCCCAATCCACATCCTTCCCCCTGTCGCCTTTGCATTCCCCTTCAACCCTCAACATCCCCTCCCGCTCACCCACCTTTTCATCCCCTTTTCACCTTGGCCCCTCCCTCGCTCGCTCACTCGCTTCCTCTCTGTGCCCTCTGCTTCCGTTCCCACTCACCTTTTGTTCCTGCCGTCGCTCTCCTGCTTTCCACCCTCTGGCCTGGCTTCCTGTTGCACCCCCCCCCCCCCACCCGCCCCCCCCCCCCCAAATCCCGACGGCCTTTCCCCTCCCTATTCTCAACGATTATTTTTTTCACTTTCACACCTCTCGTAAATCAAAACGCCCTGCATATTTCAACCATGCCTCTTCTAACGCCCCCATTTTCTGTTTACTCGTTTTACTTGCGTACTTTATTATTGTTTATCTAGAATTGTAGGACTGTGGTAGACTGACCAACTCACAGTTTGAAGATTGTCAATTAAAACCCCGATTGGTGGTCGACTCATTGATAAATTTAGTGCAACTTTGCAAGCAATACATGGTGGTCGTCTCATGGAGAAGCTAGTCCTTCCCAAAGAAGTGTCAAAATGAGCTGTAATCAACTATTGCTGCTCGTTTAAGTATTGCAAATCACTGCATTTCCACTGTTCAACCGAGCTGCGCCAGGGCCATGCCAAGCCAGCTCGGTACGGTTCAGGAAGCGCCAGGTTGTTTTCCCGCTTGCAGAATCTGCACCGCAATGAACGAGTCGAGACACGTGTGGATCACACGGTGTTGTTGCGTTTTAGTTGTACTGACGCACAAGCGATGAACGTGCCATTAGCCGCTCTCCGGCCCGGCTTGGTCTCGAACCAGAATCGGATGTCTTCGTGAGGCCATAGTTTAACGGTCTATTTCCGACTCTGTTCATCAAATAGCCAGTGGAAAACCACCCGTACATAACGCGCGGGCCCTGCTTTGGCTCTGCTCAGATGTGCCAGATCAAAAGGGATAAACTTTGACTTGCTGTTTTTGTTCATTATTATGTTGACTCTCCGATCTGCACCCCCCCCCCCACCACCACGTTCCTTTGCCTTCGGTGCAGCTACTCGGGAGCGACGTGCGGCCTGGCGTTTGTGTTCGTGCTGCCGGCGCTCGTGCATCTGCTGTCGGAGAAGCGACGCGGCACGCTGGGCCGGTGGTCCACGCTGGCGCACGTCGCGCTCATGCTGTGCGGCACTGCCAACCTCATCGCCCAGTTCTTCGTGTGAACGGCGGCCTGCCTGCCTTGCCTCAATTTACACTGCCGAATATAATGTCCGTAAAAACAAGAATTCCTCTTAACTTGTTGGTCACGTTTTTTTGTGTTTTTTTAATGCACTAAATGATGCTACGCCTCAAATACTGCACGTGAATTGATATTTTTGTAAGTTTTGATTTTTGTTATTTTAAACTATCAAAATGCACACGATGATTCAAAGGGAAAAAAACGTGATTATATACAGGAGTAAGAAACCGTTATAGGTATCCATGTGCTGCTTTAGAAACATTTTATATTACAACTTGAACAAACTGGCGCACACTTTATGTGTATCTGAATTTATTATGGAGCGTACGTGATTCACTGTATGCCACTTGTGTACTTGCCTGGATAAATGCGGTCACTGTCGATGAAAAACAAAATTATTGATACACTTCATGGCGAATCAAACACTTTGGATTGGCCTCTAACTTTTTTTGAAATGTTGGGTTTTGCTATTTACACATTTTTTACATTCTGTGCATGACGGCTCACAATTTTTAGTTTTCAAATGCTCACAATTTTTAGTTTTCAGTTTACGACGGTCCAATTTACAAAGATGCACATTCATGATGTTGATATAACGTCACCACGGATCGATTTACGACGACGGTTCCAACACGACTCCGAACACATTTGAACAGTCCGTCTGGTTTCCGATGTGACTTGGCGTGGAGCTGTTGTTATTCTCAAGTGTCTTCGTAGATTCTTACCTATTAAACCCCGTTAAACATGCCTGATGAAAGGACAAACATCGTCAAGTGATGTTTCTCTCTAGGGGCCGTCCATAAATTACGTCACGCACCTAGGGGGGGTCAGACATTTGTGACGGGGGGGGGGTTTGAGAAATGTGACGTCACATCAAAATGCGCAACTTTAAATAATTATTTAAATATACCTTTTTCTCAATGTTTTCTCCTACAACATCAGAGTACAGCGCCACATTAAATACGCACTACAATGACAACATTTGAGGGGGGGGTCTGACTTTTTGTGACGACGGAGGGGGGGTCAAAAATCGTCCAAAATCGCGTGACGTCATTTATGGACGGCCCCCTATGGGAAAATAGGATCCTATTTACGACGTGGTTTCCAGGAACGCATTGTGTGGTAAAAGCAGGGAGCGGATGTACAGGGAAAACTTGCCAATGCGGCTGTCTTATCTATTCACAGTTTACCTATCGAGGTCTGTTTTCCGGAACACGGAGTGCGATGTTTTGGCTGTACGCGATTTGACGCTGCCAAGATTCTTGTCTTCGCGTCGAAACGGTGCGAATGATTCGACTGTGATAACGATTAATTTACCTTGTAGATTGTTGTGTGTGTGTGGGGAGCGGTAGTGTTGCGGTTAGCGTGTTGCCCTACACACCTGGCGACCGAGTTCGATTCCCACTCACGGCCAACACCGGTGACGAGTATCTGAACCGGTCCTGGGCCTATCCTAGGTCGACTTGGCCTCAAATGAGTGCTTGGTGTGGTGCGTAAACATTGCCACTGGGGAGACAAAGGCGGCCGGGCGTCGTGCTGGCCACCCACCCCCTCGTGTGCCGTGCCGGCCTTCATAGGTGCTCGCTAGCAACACTTGCCCCAATAGTCTCTTAAGGCTATACGGGGGGTATTTGTGTTTTTGTTTGATAATTATGTAACGCATTCGACGGAAGTGTTCACGAATTGCCGCGTGCGTCTAGGCGGCCACTCGTTGAGGACGTCAGCAAGATGGGTGGCTCGATGGCGAATCAGCGACACGCTCAGGGACAAAGGCATTATGCAAATGTACGCACGTGGCCGCATGCATCTTGCCGTCCAGTGGTCGACGTTAGTCACGCGGACGGCATGGTGGCTCATCGTTAAACGTTCAAGCGACAGTGTTAGGGGGTCGAGGCTGGGGCTGGCAATTTCAGGGTGAGGGGGCGAACGTCGGGTTCGAGTGCGGGAAGATGGAGAGAGGGTTGTTTTTTGTTGGAGTGGAGTTGAAACAAATAAAAATGTATACACAAGAAATGGAGAGCGAGTCGGCATCATTAATTTTAATAACCAGAGCGGAAATCACGGAGAATCCGTTGAGAATGTCGGACCTTGGAACGCAAACATATTTTCTACATAAGGTATCTTTTTTGTAGAGGGCTTTTTCTGTCTAATACGGCATTTTTCAGGAACGTAACCCCGCCATTCGGTGAGGTCTGCCTGTGCGGGTTTTTTTATATATATAAATAGCATTTACAGAAAATACGAGCTTCAAAGCTTTATCAGATTCTGGTAATAAATCGACAAAAATACGTTTGCAAAGGACATGTAAAAAAAATAATTGTATAATTACTAAATATAGCATTGCTTGTCAGTGGTGCTCAAATCGTATAATCTCAAAGACGTTTGCGTGTTAATTGAATAAGCACCGTTTTGTTAAAGCAAGACATAATTTAACGCATTTTTTTAACTTCAAATCTCGCTTGTAAATAAATACCTCAACTCGAATAAAGGCGTATTGACCCAAATGGGTTGCAAGTGGCGTTAAATCTGACACGCTTTCAAATCTGACGAAATTAATTAGTTTTTTCTTCCAGTAATTATCACTCTGTTCCCTCAATGAGCGAACGGTGCAAAACGTGTCATAATTGCACATCGCATTGATAATCAACTCCAAGCTAATTAACAAAAAGTACGCTATATGCAAATTGCATAGATACCAATTACGTATCATGAATCGGCAATTATATTCCGTAGATGAGATATATAGGGTTGCTTATCTTAAGCGATGTGCATGAAGTTGGCGTAATGATACACGTTCAAATTAGACTCTGGTTCTTTCGGTAAAGTCACGGAGGTAGAAAAATAATATATCACGACGTTTCGATCGCAACACAAGCGGTCGTCCTCAAAGAAAATTTATCACGTGATATTTTTTTTATTTTTCTACCTACGTGACTTTACCGAAAGAACCAAAGAGTATGGATTCCTGCAGCCACAAAGCTTCAAATCAAGATTGTTAAAATTAAAATTTATAGACGGCGATGATTTTTGCATGTCGTCTATTATCACTCGAGATCAATGGTTCTTAACCTTCACTGCAGCCTTGCACCCCTTTTCTCAATCGTTAAAAAATATAATCTTAATTATTAGGTTCGATTAAACTTAGTAGATGTACTTGACGTACCCGTGCTTAATTTGTGTTTTCGATTATTTGCCTTTGAGAACAACTTGCCATGTCTCGCACCCCCAGAAAGGACATCTCGTACCCCAGGTTAAGAATCACTGCTCTAATAGGTGCCCAGCCTGCACACACGCTGCAAGTGCTGCCTAATGAGTTGAATTCACGGTGAGCGTTGGACTTGATTTCGCATAACATTCATGGCGAATAAAACCCTTTCTGATTCTGATTTCTGATTCTGAGAGGGCAACACGTGCTTTTGATGAATTCGCCCAGTTTATCTCTGGAGAATTTCAAGAATCCTACAAAGCTCACAACGCCCGATTGCATCTTTGATGATTTAAAAAGGTGGGTACGTGGGAGGGAGGGACGGTGAGGGGCTATTGAATGTGTTCTGAAGTTGGAACGCAACACTTTGCGCCAAAGTAAATGGCGTCAATGCCAAACCGCTTGGATCATATCAAGGGCTCAAAGGCATCCTTAGAAGCTCGCTCGCCAACCCATAGATCAACGTCCGTTGCACAAAAGAAGGATTTTTTTTGGTACTCTTCCGTTCGCGAGTTTCACCCACACATCGGATTTTCGAGGTGAGTGGTTCACGAAACTTCAAAGCCGGGTTTTTTTTCCGGTCTGAATCTGCACAAATAATCTTAATCGTTATCAAGCCGCCGTGGTCAATTCGCCGCTAGATAAATATTGGGGGGGTTTTTCCCACCCCAAAATCGCTGCTTAATCGCGATCCTGATCAATGCGGGGAGGTGCAGGACCGGTTGGTTCAGACTGATGTCACTCGCCACTAATTTTTGGTTAAAAAAAAATATTAGCAAAAAATATTGGGCGCAGTGATCTTCTTCTGTCACGGTTTGCTGCAAAAAATATTATTGTAGGGGAGGATAGCTCGCGCAGTTGTGAGCGCACTGCACTTGAAATCCACCCATCTGAATTCGATTACTGACCATAAGTAACATCAGTGGCGAGTGATATCGGAACAGGTCCTATCACTCCCCATTACCTTTTTACACTACAGGAGTGCTACGGAACCGTTTTGGTTTGTTTAACTTTTTTCGCACCGTACGTTATGGCGCCCTCCCCACCAAACAAGACCACTGGTTCACGCGCCTCCAATCGCCCTCAGCCCAGGTTACTAAGGCCACAATGCAGAGAGAGAGAGAGATCACACCTCGAGTCAACGCCGTGTTAGTGAATTATGTTGCATGTTTTCTACTCGTGTCTTGTCGGAGCGACGTGGCACTGCCGGGTGTACACCGGGAGTAGATCGTGTTAGGCATCTTGTGAGGATGGGGGGGATGGGGTTGAGGTGGCCACGCGTTTCTCCCCAGCCCCGGTGGCAGCTCGCCGCGTGTATGGAAACAATTTGAATCGGGGTTTGGATAAACACGGGACGGGCGGGCAGCAGTCTCCTCCGCCGCTCTGTGGACAGCACTGACCGCCACGTGTATTCATAGCGGCCCCTCCTTATAGAGGCAATTACCAAGCCAAACAAACACCGCCGCTCTGCCAGGCGTTCGTGACCGGCTTGTACACTGCACACAATGCAGCACATTATTCTATAAGGCAACCTGATTCGGCGCCGTGGAGTTTATCAAAATGCCGGTGAAAACCCGCAATTGTTTGCTTATAACAGTGGTTCTTAACGTTTCCTGCAGCCTGCATCCTTTTGGTTCTCGTAAATAGTTTTTACAATGTTAATAAATACAGAGGTTCGATGGAACAAAGTAGTTGTACTTGCGTGCCGGTGCTTAATTTGTGTTTTCGATTATTTACCTTCTAGAACAAATCTGGCCATGTCTCGCACCGCCAGAAAGGGCATCTCGCTGCCACTGGCTTCCCTCACCCACTGCTGGCGAATGGACCATTCCACGAAAAGGGAGCTTCTCAAGAGAGATATTTCTATAATCGAGAGGGTATTTCGGCCTAATCTGTCCAAGGACCAGAGCAGAAAATGGCACCACCTACGGTAGCAAGACTTTATCAGTGCCAGTGTACTTTCACGGCTAGTAACATTGAATTACAGTACTTGATAACCACCCCACGCATTTGAAATGATTCTCAGATAATTATTAGATAACACCAAAAAAATAAAATTGCGTAATTCACTGTTGCTATTGGCCATATACGAAACGTGTAACTGTGAAAGTGAGGCCACCTCAGTTAGAACCGACGAGTGAAATATCCGCTCTGGTCCCACGGACTATAGCAAGTAGCCACATTTACCCCGCCACCCACGACCTGCCGATTGATTGTGGTGAACACGTGTTTACTGTCCGGTGAACAGAAGTGGGTGTTGAGCGAAAGGGTTGATTTTTTAAAATATATATAAAGTGCCTATTGTTTCAATTGTGCCTATTGTTTCCGCGCCGAGGAACCGAACCTGTACATTATTCAATAACACAATAACAGTATTCCATCGTTTAATTCTAGATTGGAAGCTTTCGTGACTGCAAGTAAAGTCACGTAGTTAAAAATTAAATTAAAATTAATAAAAATAAAACAATAAAAATCACGACGTTTCGGAGGCAACACAAGTCTCCGTCATCAGGTGGGACCGTCACAGCCAGATTTCGTCGTAATTTTTATTGTTTTATTTTTATTAATTTTTATTTCATTTTTTACCTACGTGACTTTACCGAAAGAACTAAGAGTATTCCATCGTTATTCACGCACTTTGCTATCCGCGATTGATTTTGGCGATCCGCGAATCACATCTCGGATTTCTACTCGACTGCATCGAGATAAAGTGATGAAATAAAGTGATGACAGAAAGTGATGAGATAAAGATATGTTTTATGATAATGTTCATGTGTTTAATAGCTTGTTTACTTCATTTATTTAAGGAAATTCATTGAAATTGAGGTTTTCGTAGGTCAATATCATTTATCTGCGAAGTTTGCTTTTCACGAGAATATCCGGATCGTATCCCTCGCGAATAACGAGGGAGTCCTGTAAAGTTATTGATTACCGATTATCGGTTCGATAGTGTGACTAATAAGATAACCGGAAAATATTTTTTTTTTAAATCGCAGCTCTGTTCCCAAATGTGCCGCTGGACTGCAAGTGATGGGAGGAGCTTGGCTACGCCAGCGGCACCAAGAAGCCGCGTCATGCTGGGCATGGCTTCTTAGGGGGTTTCCCACCTTCGGGGTAGGGGGTGCAATTACAATTTTTAAGCTAACCCGAATAATCAACCACAAAATAAATTGTATACATTAATATAAACTAAACGATTTTATTTTACCAAGTAAGGCCCACTGAGCTATATGGCTCTTTTTCACATTATAGCTCAAGGAAGTGGCTTATCTTGTGGAAATGTATAGCAGCCAAATTCTCCAAACACACGTTTCTAAAATGTGGAGGGAAAATAACCGGAGCACCCGGAGAAAAATGCACGCAGCCATGGGGAAAACACGCAAACTCCAAATATGCAGCAGGCGTCAGGGTTGAGATCGAACCCACCACCTCCTGTATACCAGGCGATGTAGTTAACATCTCGCCACCGTGGCGTCCCATATATGTTTAGTCAAATAATTGTAACTTAATTAATTAACTACTTGTCCCAGCTCTATTGTAGTATCAATGGGGGTGACATGAAGGGAGGTATGCCCCCCCCCACCCCATACATAAATAAGTGCCCCCGCACCGTCCCCCTTTGTATCTCCATCCAGAGGCAGGTTCCTCCTTAGGCTGAGTGGAGAGTTCGACACCACACAACTCGCCATCCATGGGCGGAGTATGCGGGGGGGGGGGGGTCACGAGGGGGGAAACACCCCGTCCAAACGAGGCACCTTTATTAATTTGTTTAACGT